CTGCGTGGACCGAGAGCGGGCGTTAATCCGCAACCCTCCTATCCACGACACTTGACATGTCGGGATAGTCTCGGACTCAAATCACCCGTACAGCCGAAGCCGCGTGGGGACCGAGTCGAGATGCACACTTCCCACTTGCGTGGAAGGTGGCAGTTGGTGCATGCGGTGGGTAAGTGTTGATGTGTGTTGGAGATGGTGGAGGAGGGTAGGGAGTGTGTGGATATGTGGTGTAACCGGCGGTTGTCTACCGCAGGTCGTCGTGGATGCGCATGTGGCCGAATAGACCCATGCAGTGCCTGAAAGTGCGAGGACAGTGTGGGCAGTTGAGACGAGCTTGGTGGGTGTACGTTGGTGCTCCAGGCACTGGTTCTCCAGTCTCTGTGCAATAGATTCGCAAGTGACCGACGAGGCCGAAGCGTGAGGTGAATGTGCGTGGGCAGGAGAAGTCGGCGGTGTCGGTTTCGGCTGCAGAGGAAGCAGTGATGGGGGTGGTAATGAGCGAGCATAGCGATGGAGCGTGGGTGGGGCTGGGCATGGTGGATGTGTTGGATGTTGTTGGTGTGTCGGAATTGTGGCCAATTCCGCTCTCGTGGGTGCGCATGTGGCCGAATAGTCCCATGTGATGTGCGAAGGTGCGAGGACAGTGTGGGCAGTGGAGGCAAGTGCGGTGGGTGTAGGTTGGCCCTCCACGCACTAGTTTGCCAGTCTCTGAGCGATGGATTCGAAAGTGACCGACCAGGCCGATGCGTGAAGTGAAGGTGCGATCGCAGTGAGGACAGGTGTAGTCCTGGTCCTCACCTCTGGTGACGGAGGTTGCAGGGGTAATGCCTGTTGTTGTGCCAGGTGTGGCTGTGGTGATGGCGTGCGCGACAGACGCCGGCGTGGCGACCGTTGTTGCAGTGAAGTAGGAAGAGGAGGAGTGAGGGGTGGTAAAGTCGGTGGCGTCGATGTCAGTTAGGGAGTGGTTAGTGGGTGCACAAGGTGATGAATTGGGAGTGGGGCTCGGCGGGGTGGGTGTGTCGAGGCTGCGGTTTATTCCGCTCTCGTGGATTCGCACGTAACC